AGGGATCAGACTCAATTTTAGCCCATGCCTTGGTTTGGTTAAGGTCATGCATTAATTTAGCCTCAGAGTTCCCCATTTAAATTCTAATGTTTCTGTTTTTCTGTACTATGTCCAAGTTTTATGAGTAGGGCTCCAATTAAGTATTTGGCACAACTTAACCATTTCAAAGCTGAATGTAAGCATGGGTTAGCTGAAGAAAACAAAATGCAACATTCTGAAATGCAATGCAATACAACATACKAGATAAACAAAGAATTTAGTTGTTTTATGAGGACAATCAAATTCAACAGATGAAAAAGAATTGAAAAAGTAAGTGTAACGCTGGAGGTGACAGAGCCTCTAATTTTCCTCTCTYGTACAATAACTGAGTAATCTTTTGTCATGTGGCAACAGCATAATACTAAAATTTAATTCAGACCATGACATTTTTCTACATACTGTGTCAGTGGAGATTACTTCTCAGTTTTACTGTGTGTACCAGGAATATCTTACTAGGAATTGAAGCAACAATTGCTTCAGATTAGATGGACAGAGGAAAAAAATGAGTTTTCCTAGACAGAGAATATTTTTCAGCATTTATGTAACCTCCACTAAATAAATATTTTTGAGTCAGTCCTCAGTATCCTTGTAAAGCATATGATTATCATCATCCTAGTCTTACAGCAGGAGAAACTTGATGATTAAAGGTTAGATTAATGCTCAAACCCTCATGGACTTGCTTGRCAATTCTAATTCATATCTGTAGAACGTTATTTTATGATTTTATCCTGATGTCCTTCTTTCTCCAGAGAAAAAAAATCTGCTGTACTCAAAGAAATAATCATTGCCACAGTATGGAAAATACAATATAAAACTGTACTGTGTCTGCAATTCATTAGAMTAATCCCCTTTTCATTATAAATTGCTCATTTAATGCAATTCAGAAATCTATGTTCAAATGAAAATAAATGTGAGGTTCATCATCTTTTGAAGTGAAGCTATTACAGGGCTTTGTTCCTCTGATATTTAGTATAATAATTGCTCTCAAACTAAATTTATTTGTAGCCAGTTTATAAAACTTTATACCTCAAAAAGCCCATKTCCTTTGGCAGTTGTCTTTTCCTCACACTGGGACACCATACACAAATCACTTTCTGTCCCCACATTGCTAGTGTGAACTAGTTTAATTCTTTTCATAATCTCATGTTCAAAACAATTATTCAAACTATAATTTTGGTAATCATGCTTGGGACTGTGTATTTCATCTGGGAAGCTTTTTAGGCATTCACTGGATGTTAGTGGAAACCAATACCTCAATGTAGCAGGAACCATTTCTTGCTTCTGTCTTGTTTGCAGTGTTTAACTCTGTATTATCTTCAGAATCTGTACTGAAAACAAGAACATCAGCTCTACAGTGACTTCTTAAATCCCTTTATCTAAATTACAACCAGATTTTCAGAACTGGGTTTATAGAAATATGCAGGGGTCTGCTACATAAGGTACAACTTTTGTATACTGAGTACTTTATGGATGACCCTGCTTCAGATGTAATGTTCTAACCCTTTRGGGAAAATACTTACTCAAGACCTTACAGCTTACCCAAGGCTTTAAAGGACTTCTGCGTTTGCTGACTTTAGGCCAATAGGAATACACTACAAGTAGGATTCAAAGGTGAACCAAAAACTTATATCACTTGACTTCCTTTTCACCTTCACCACTCTCTCACAGCGAGCACCAGCTTCAAAATCAAAGAATTTCTRTGTAAGTTGAAAAACAAAAAACAGGCACTTTTGTAACTTGTTAATCAATTTCCCAGTAAAGCACTTTCTCAGTGAAAAATGTGGCTTCTTCATTATTATAAAAGTTGCTACTTTTGCCGATTTTATTTTCAGCACAGTAAAAAAAAGAAATKACATTTTAGCCCAGATCTCCATGCTGAAGCCTCTACCTTGGTTGCTGTTGAAAACTTCAATGGAAAAAACACCGTTCTTCACCCAGGCAGATCAAGTGTCAAAATACTTCTTGTTGTTATGCTTGGAACTTCCAGCAAAATTGGAGTTATTTCAAAATGATCTGGAAGCACTCATCCCGTATTACAGTGGTAATGGACCCTTCATTTCTCCTCATGAAGTGGAATGTTACTGTAGGGACTGGTAAATTTGCTGCTGCCTCTGTTAGTCAGGGTCCATCAATCACACTGCAAAACCCTAAACAATTCTATCTTAAGAAATGGGAATAGGAAACAGAGGCAGGATCCATTTTTTCTGCTATTCACTGAAGTTCTTTGCCTCTTATTTCTTTGTTGCTTTAGGAAACTTTTCTTAAGTTTCTTTTAGGTAGGAGGAATTAACTTCATATGCTACTCCTATTGTATACTGTGTGGGGTTTAGTATCTCTGTGTAAGGCCAGGGAAGAGCAYGTGTGAGATAAATATGACAACTGCTCTGTTTTTCCTGCAGTGATAAACCCAYTGAAAGCAACCAATGTGCTGTCTTAAACCAATGTGCATTGAGGACACAATAGCATCGTTAATATTTGCTTTCATGTGCATAACCAATCCCTTTGAAGTTCAGCAGCCATGCTGATTACATTGAAGTATGGGCAAAGAATASTTTCTCCCTGCTTCCTCTGACAAAATAACTATCCCCACTTTATAATCCCTTCASCTTTGATCTCTCACTTCGCTAACTTTATATGAGAGCACGTGTTTCTGGGGTCTKAGGTAAAAGGAGTATTTAAAAAGAATTATCTGAATAGCATGCTGTAACCATGAAAATAGGGTAATATTGCTCAGACATGGTATATGCTCTGTTGTTTCTGCCTTYCTTGCTCTTCTACCATGGACCAACTTTGTTAATATTATTTTGGTAACAGCTTGCATGTTTTCTTCTCATCTCTACTTCTTGGGATGYTACAACTGCTCATTAAAATGCCTAATAATTTAGTAGCTCCTCCCTTGTTCCTCTGACTGCTCTTACCATAGTATGACAGAATAGTTTGGGTTGGAAGRGACTTTGAAAATTCATCTGGTCCTACCTGCAGTGATCAGGACCATCTTCAATTCAGCCAGGTTGCTCACAGTCCCATCCAATCTGACCTTGAATGTTTCCAGGGACRGGGCACCTATCCCATCTCTGGGCAACCTGTTCCAGTGTTCCACCATGCTCATCATAAAATTTTTCTTCCTATATAAGGAAATCTATAATCTATAAGCCAAAATCTATACTATTTTCAATTAAAATCATTGTTCCTTGTTCTTCTGCTACAAGCCCTGAAAAAAGCCTGTCCCATCTTTCTTGTAAGTCCACTCYAAATACTGAAAGGCTSCAATAATRTCTCCCCAGAGCCTTCTCTTCTCCAGGAGGAACAACCTTAACTCTCTTAGCTTTTCCTCATAYGAGAGGTGCTCCAGCCCTCTGACCTCTTTTTGGGCCTCCTGGGCTTGCTCCAACTGGTCCACATCCTTCTTGTGCTGGAGGTCCCAGATCTGGATGCAGTGTCCAGCTGGGGTCTCACCAGAGCAGAGGGGCAGAATCACTTCAACAAGTTTATGCTGCAGTCAAGACAGCAAGCTGAATTAATCATCCTGAGACATACCTTTTAGCCACATCACAACAGGCAAGTTAACAATGCAAATAAACAGACCAAAATGCCTGTATGAAGTTTGACCTGTCAACAGAATTATGCCCCTAAGCACAACTCAAGTGAAACACAGCTGGCTTTKCAATAAAATGATAAAAGGTACCTCCAACAAAGGCATGTTGTTCAAAAAAGGGCAGTGTAATTTTGGGAATAAATCTGAAAATCAGTTGATTGCGAGGCTGCCTGAGATGCTGTCAGAAGGGTAATGTCACACCTCCTATGGGTGTCACTGCTAAAGAATAGAGTGGACAGCAAGATGTCCTTGGTACACAAAATAGTTCATGGACTTCAACCTCCTACTGAGCTATGGTTTGAATGCAGTGAGACAACAATGTCCTCTGAGGTCACAGACAGCGAAGCTGACAGAGAATTTAACAGATGGACCACAGTGATTATGTTTTCTTGTTTTTTAAATAAAAACAATGAAATTGCTGGATTTCAAAAGTATCAATTAGTTGCTTCGTTCGTGCATCCCAGCATTCAGTTTATCCTCTAGTGTCTCACTGATGTGAGTTTTCTGAGAGGTGTTACTTGAATATCATGACAGTAATTAGCCCTTCACCACTGCCTGTCAGGAGCTGGTGTAATACCCAGGATGAGCTGTGTGATTACTGTCTGCCAGAAGTGTACACGATGGCAATCCAACTTTCATCATTTCACTAATGTGTAACCAGCTTTCTTGTTGGCACGGACTCAAGATGAGTCCCTGGGATGAAAACACTGATTAGCACCTCCACTGGCTCAACTCAGGCCACTGTGTAGTTCAAAAACTACCCAAAGCAGCAGYATGCCTCACATTTAATGGATGTAARCAGGCTTGTAGTGGTTGAATTATACAGCACTTCATCACAGACTGAATGGCRAGTTACATTCTACCTTTGGTAAGTTGTTTTTCATTTTAATTAATAATTTAATAAAAAGTCTGTTCTTTTCCCTTAAAACATGACACTGAATTCCTTGAATGGGTGGCACAGCCATTTAGCTGAAGTCTACCAGCACTTCAAGAACAGCATCAAGGAATCAGAGCTCCATAGAGGGTTTGATAATCACAAGAAATCTACAGCCAAATACAGGGCAGTATGGTGAATATATTCTCCCAGGGAATCCTACAGCACCTGCTTGAATACATATGTACACTTCAGAATAAAAGTGACTTTAAAATATTTTCCCCTTTTCTGTAGTTTATTGTGATACCTCCTTGCCAGATTAGCTGTCCATTTCCATTTGAGATTTCACTGAAATTGTGTGCAGAACTGACAGGCAYCTTCCCTCTTTGGTTCCACCTGCAGTTCAATGTCATTCATTTAAGGCAACATGAAAAGACCAGYACTCGTAAACAAGTGAAAACAAATGTTTTATTTACAGGAAAAAATCTGTACACTGTGTATACATAAAAATATACAAAATCATAATAGAAAATATAAAAAGTGTTAAAATGTATACAAACACTGCTTAAAAATGTGACTCCTGTAAAATCTTAAGCTTTSTTATTAGAGTACACATTCATTTAAAAAAATCATCATACAAAATAATTCTCAAAGCTATTAAAAAAGTACACAGTCTATATCTGGATAGTTCAATGACTACATATTTTAAGAGTGRTGAGATGATGTGAAAAAAAGTAAGGCTTTTACACACAACTCTTACTTCAAGAACRAAATTCCGAATCTGATTGCAAGCCAGAGAGAAGACAACTGCACTGTCAAAATTCATTAAGTGATGCAGGTATGCCCAGACATGGGCTACTTTAAATTTCAAACAGTTAAATCAGGTATCCTCCTCGTGAGAGGATAGATGCTGGGAAAGATTCAAATCATTTTAATGGCAGGCTTCTGAATTACCTACTTCAAAGCAGAATCTCATTTAAATATGCATCAACTTTAGAAAGCATGAAGGGAAAAATAGCAACCATTTATTGTTGCAGTCAATGCATTTAATACTCTTTTCATGGTACATTTGTGTCACTGTCCAAATGGCATTTTCCATCCTTAAAAACTTCTGAAGAAAAAGGAAATTAAAAACCCCACTATGGATTGCTCTGCATGTGTTTTGAATTCCTGTTAAATTCAATCAGTCTCTAAAATGACTGTTCAGTCTGTGCAACCAGTAAGTGTAGACACTTGTCTTCATTTAAAAAAACCCACAAAAACTCTCTTGGTTTTCCTGACTTTGGCAAGAGATCTACAGCAACAAGTTCAGAATTTGGATGTCTTCACCAAAGAAAGTGTCTTGACCAAAGACAAACAAAGCTTAAATTAAATTTGTAAAGTGAGAGTGTACATTAGAGTGCTTATATCACCCCTCTCTCTCCCCAAAGGTACATCATGGTAATTTACCAGAGTTTCTACAGCATAAAACTGCACAACGAGGTAAAAAAAGATGTAGGAGTTTAATCCAAGGAAGGACTGAGCTATGAGTTCATGCTGAGGTAACCTTTAGAACCATAGAGGAACGGAACAAATAATGGGGGTTTTTTTGGTTTGTTTTTTTTTTTTCTTTTTCCTAGTGAAAGATTTTGGCTCAAAATGAGGCAAAATATTTCTTTTGTTTTTTCCTTGAATAAACAGAAGAATACCTTGATTTAACCATCCAAAACTGAATGCACAAAATGATAGAGCACCGCAAGTCAGAAAAGTTACAGAATTCACAGTGGGGAAAGAAGAGCATAATTTAATTCAGCATAAACTCAGCACGTTCCCTTAAGCTGCTGCTGTGTTTCTGGTTTGTTTCAGTTAACTTTAACTGTTGTCCACAGCACCAGGGCACAGAAATGAGGCTCGATAGTGTTTGAAGGCAACTGGTTCCTACTTGTCAGTAAAACTCCACAAATTTAAAGCCTACAACAAGTGCAGAGGGAGCTCAGGGGCCCGATAGCWGAAGCAATTGCTTGGCTGATGATGCACCTCGTGACGCACCAGGTCTGTGCAAACCTCYCTTGTCTAGAGAGACACACTCTGTTAGTGTGTGACAGCCACAGGGGAGAGCCTGTATCTTCTCCCCAGAACCCTCTATGATCTTGGAGAGAAAAYGCATTTCCTTTCACACTGCTGTATTTAACATTCGTATCTAAAACCAGCACTCTCACCTATTATTTTTAGAAGATACGTGGTTCAGTGTTATTACACATTCATTGATTTAAATTTTCTGAATGTAGTTCTGTGCAAATATTTCTCTGCCCTCACAAGGGATGGGTAAATGCCCATTAATACAAAAACACTTGGAGGGCTCTTAGAAAAGCCAGCAATGCCAATGCCACAGAGAGTAAGAAGTGGTGAGAGGAGCATCTCTGCAGTTCCTTTGTGTTTCCCCGTTATTTCTACCCCTTTCTCATTGTGGAGGGGAGCCCTCAATTAGCAGATCAAACACACTTGCAATTGCACCAAAAACGGAAGGAGGACAAGACAAGGTAGGAGAGAAAATGCTCTTTAAGCAACCACAAGGTGTTTGAGCAGGCAGACCAGTAAAATATCACAGTGGAAACCWGTGTTAGAAAACCACACCAGGCTCATTTTTTAAAGGTGGCATCACAGGTTGGTCGTCCTCCTCTGTGAGCAAGCCTTTGCCACACATCCCTGCAGCATCCTCTGAGGTGATGGTGCTACAGCACCCACATTTGCACTTGTGAAAGGAGGACTCATTGCCATATAAATAAGGATRTGGCAAAGAAAAAATATTGGCTGCAAGGGTTTCAATGTGCAGTCCAGTAAATTAAAGATACAGTTGATTTTATAACATCTCAGACCTGGTTCTGCATTGGTATATAAATGGTGTATTAAGTAGGTATGCTTAGCACTTGTTACATGAAACTTTACAAATTGCCTTGTTCAGTACAACAGTTGTGTTGATTATTCTGACAAATTATTGAGGGAATAAAAAATACTACCTAATCCTGCTGTGGGTGGTTGAGAATGCAGTTAGTATTTTTCTTCTTAATTAAAATCAAAGTTAAAAGTTAGGGATTGCAGGCCAGTCAAAATGATTTTTTCTTTTTCTTTTTGGAACTCTAGAATTTCCTGCTTATTGAGAAGTAGCATATTCACTAGCCTTAGAAAGCTAAACTCTCTTCCTTTACAGTTATGTCATAGCTARCCTAGGGTACAGCAGAGAGAGACATGTTTGATTGCACTTTTCAGACTGCTTATGTTTTGCAAACAGGGTACCAAATATATGGAAAAATAGWTTAGTTTATGTAGGCTATCTATTCTCCATGCAATTAAATAACAATGTTACTAATTTCAAGAATAAMTGTTGCCACCATACAAAACATGAAAAAGAAATTGGTATGTACTACAGCCAGAGTCCAAGGCTAGTGTGAGTAAAACCTAATAATTCTGATATGTCTTCAAATGCCTTATGGACATAACTATCCATACAACACAGAAGTACAGTTATTAGATCATCTACACATAATTTCTGTCAATAAGAAGCATCTTAAGATCACCAYAAAGCCCAAAAAGAAGACTAAGTCCTATGTAAAACACATATTCTTCATTTTGAGGAAGGAAAATAATCCTTCCAAAGGATCCTTCCAATAATGCTTCCCAAAGAGCTGAGTGAGAGAAAAAGGATTTTGTGATTATACTTACATTACAACTGAAGATGAAATAGTCATTAATGTTGTTTGCTTTTTTCTGCCTTTCTGGCTTTTTGCTTAAGTCAAAACCACCACAACCAGTCAGCTATTATTTTCAATGCCTCTTTGAGCTGTCTACTCTTTTACTGGATGGATRTGAGAAGCATATACCTGTGCTTTTGTGCACACAAATTCCTGCTGAACCTACTCTAAAAGTTAAGGTATAGTTGGGTGGGAAAAAAACAAAACAAAAAACTGAAAAAAACATTCTAAACCAATAACCTCCCACCACCTGGAAAAACTGAAGTCTTGGAAAATAATGTTTTTAATATATTAGGAATTAGGCAGATTTTTAGAAATGCCTTAGAGAATATTCTCATTGTGTGTTATGAATGAAAATACCAAACTTTCTCCATATGCAATCCGTATCAGTTTTTTTGCAGGCATTACAGCTTTTCTGGGTTACAGTCTTTCAAACATTAAGTAAAAAAATGCTGATATCACCTTTTGTCAGAAAACTCCTTCCACCTTCTTAACAGCAAGAACTTGAGAACAAGTGACTTTGATTCAGATATAACAAATTATGTCTGCATTCCTGAATGCTATGTTTGTTGACAAGAGGTGATCTGCTCTGTGCTYGTTTCAGTGTGATGGGTGAGGGCTGCACAGCCTCCCTTGGCTTTCTCTGGATCTTCTCTGTCTGTGCAGACTGGGGAAGGGCAGCATTTCCATCTCACACCTTCCTGATAGTCCTTTCAGGGAGAGTTTTTCATCCTGATTGGGTTCTTTTTTTTTCTAAAGAAATGAGACATTTCTCTCTTCCTGTTCAGTCAGTGTGAGCATGGGAGACTCCCATCAGCCATACACTCAGCAGCCATCCTCGACTGACCACACACACTTCATTGCCACCATAAACCCCTGTTCAGCTGGAGGCCTGGAACTGAGCCTGCCTAGGAATATTAAACYCTGCTCTAGTGAATGACTGCACAGCTTGGAGTAGCAACTGCTTCATTCTGGGAGAGTGTGAAAATGCTGTGGAGCCAAGGGAAATGCTGCATTGTTCAACTGGCCACTCTGTACGTAYATGAACAATAGAGGCTCTTTCACAATGCCAGATTTGACAGTTAAATAAATGCATTTAAAATAATACAGTATAGCATGTGTGGCATGAGACCACCGACAAATTCTGACAGTCACACCAACAACAATACATTATATTTCTGCCTAAGTATATCCTTTGCACCTTCATGAGCTAAGCCTTTGATTTTTTCCTGTAACTATTTGCAAAGCAATAATAAATACTCAGGCTCAGAAAAGAAATATTTCTCATGCCTGCTACTTAATTACAATTTATAGACTCAAGACTAGATTGGTCTAAGATACACTTTTTCAAGTATTCTCTTCTTGTTTATAGTACGACAGTAGTACCTTATTGCACATTGTTTCTGAAGGACTTATTTCTAGAAGTGAGGGAAGTTACTTCGTTTTGGGCACTTGACAGCTTTGAACCCTGGCAAAATGACTTTCCCCTTCCGATACAGATCATCCTGCAAACCTTTGTTCATCCTCTGCACCAAGAGCTTCTCGTAGAGCAGGGGATGGTAGGCTCCTAAGGTACAAGCTGCATCATAGTAGAGTTCGTGGTAGTGACACAGGTCGGTCTGTCGCACCGAAGGGATGTACTCGTACACGTGCACTTCATCACACATGGACATCATGATCAGGATACCTGGAACAAGAAGTGAAAACAAAAATGAACACCAGATTTCACTTTTCTCACAAAATTTCCCTGCAGTCATCCAATCTCTTTTTTCTTTTCTGCTTTTCTTTGCAGTCACAACCTTAAGTATTCTGTAAAATCATTAAGTGAMGCAATAGTGCCTTTTATTAGAGCAGCTTTCACTTGTCCCTGATATATAAAGATTGTGATCGCTGTAGAGTCARCAGGGCAGGACTACAGWCATAAAGAAAGAGTAAAAAGCTGAWAAAGGACTTGCATATCACCATCAGCCTCCTGAGTGAGAAGACTGCTCTTTCCCATCTGCCCCCATTTATGCTATGTACTGTCCACAAAAGATCCCTCACAAGAATCCCTGAAACATCTCCACCTTATTGCAAAGTTGGTCTTTCTTAGTCTGAGATTAAACCAATTTTCCTTTTCCCATCCACTTGCTTCTCTCTAAGCAGGAAGACATGGCCAAATACATGGAAAGGGCATATAAAGATACATCACCCATGYAGTGGTGGCACAGAAGCCCACAGCTCCAGACAATTCTGTGAAGAGTCTCATGGAGTGACAAGAAAAATTAATTCCTACTTAGAGCAATGCTGATATAAGGAAAAGCCCCTGATCACTGCCTGCTCAGCAAGAAATCCACAAAAAATGCCAATCCATTTTTTTSTGCCACATGACAATGGCACACTATCATCAACACTGTCAACTGAGGTCTTTATAGCCTTGAAACAAGAGAAATCTTGCTGTTGCAGCTGCACATTTTCAGACGTACTAATGTCAGATAATGATCAACAAAATTGCCTAAACTACAATCCTTTCACATCAATCACAGCTCCTGGAAGCCTTTTCTATTTCACAAAGCCACGTAAAAGGAAAGTGACATGAAATACGTTTTGGACACCATTTATTCTTTTTAAGATTTCACTTAAAAAAGAAATGTGTGTAGAAAATGTATTGAGGCATTTGTAGCACTACTGGTATCCCTGTCTGTTGAATAGGACTGTCAGCTCTCAGAGGAGAAAGCTGTCTAACTCTGCTAACTTGGCATTTACAGATTGCTAACTTGGCATTTACAGATGAGAACTGATGTAACTTGTTCTGGTTTTTTTCCTGCACAACAGCTTTGGCATCACCAAAGGTGTTTTGGTAGATCTCAGAATTTAAATGAATTAACATAAAAAAAATTATTCTGGTTTGTTAATTAAGCAAAGCCATTTTCTGAAGTTTAGTTTACAGCTTAGGAATGCAGGGATTTCAGTGGCTTGCTAATGAAAARAACCCTATGGTCTCCCCACTGTGTATCATTAGATTATCAAAATGACTTTTCCCTGCCTGACGTGTAAAGTAACTGAAAACCAATTACTTCTGGTGATTAAATCTTCTTTTAATATAAATTAAAGGTTCTGAAAATATTTAATAATTGTTCTACAGCTTTACACTCTACAAAATCTATAGTCTTAGAAAAGCTAAGCATATAAATTCTGAAATTCACAAACTTGAGTGAACTTTAGTCTTAAGCAGCAAGAAACACATTCATGGTGAAAAAATATTTAATCTCTATTTGGGMAAGCTTAATAAACCAAGTTTTCTTGTCTTGAAGATATTACAGAGATGCTCTGAATTGTAACCTGCCAATGTATATATTTGTTTGGTTTTTTTTTTGTTTTAGTTTTACAAATGCTTCCGTCAGTTTTTCCACTGCCAGCCTCCTTCCTCCACTGATGGAGAGCCCACCTGCCATTCCAAGGTAACCGTTATCCAGCTGGATCAGAGGGTGGATGGTGGAAACGTGTGCAATAATGAAGCACATCCAGAAACAGACAATAAAATGACTTCTCTCCTGCACCCAGAGCCAAGCCTGGAGCCAATTTCAAAAGCTATACCACCAACACCTTAGGAAGACTGACTTCGATGGAAAGTACAAGCCTTAACCAAAGTGTGTTTTACTTCACTGCCACATTACCAAGTTAACTTTAAAAATAATAAAGGAAGTTGCCATTTATGGGATTGGAAAACTGTCAAGAAGAAAAATTGTGACTTCTTAATAACACTTACCTGCCAGGTATGGTTCAACCATGGCAGAATTTTAAGCAATATCACTATTATTATGGTGGTCTGTGTTAGTTAATGGAGGACTCAGAAACAGAGTTTTAGTTTTTAGTCATCTATAGTTCAGTGTCCTCCAGGATCAACCTAAAAGGCATGCTGGGTTATGTAGTTTAGCTCTTTACTTTTCCTCCTGGTTCCATCCAGATCAYGTCTTGGAATTTCAGTTTAGGTTGCTCATAAATAACTGTAACTTCTACTCACATTTTTGCTCATGCTGGACAATGATGTTTGACAGGAGGAAAATCAAACATCACTCAGCTTTTTGAGTGGTAACAGCTAATTTATAGCACAATCTTGTGTTAAACTCTGAAAGATCAGCTMCAACGACAAGTAGAGATCGCCACACACAGAAATGTCCCTCTGCTTATCTCCTGGTAGAATCAGGATGTGAAACCCCTCCACAATGGATAGCCCTAGCTCTGTAGAGCCATTGCTGCAAACTCAGTTCACAAAAAACATTAATTGAGCATCTTTAAAAGAATAGCAAGAGTTTAGACCACTAGGACATTTACATCAGTCCATCTACTAGGATACATTCAGTTTTTATTCTATTTTTTTTCTAATGCCATCTCTAGGTTGTTTTTCCTAAGTCCCTAAAACAGTGCAGCCAACAGGGCTCCCTGGACTACAGGTCTCACATTCCACCACTCTTTAACTCAATTTCTCTCTGTGCAACAACATTGCAGGGAATTACTGACATCTGTATCCATCAGGTATAAGTGTGCCAAGCTGTCTATATTTTCATTGACTTTATAACTCAGTTGTCCCATCTTCCTTCTCTCCACTTAGCTTCAGTGATATTATAATTATTTTTAAATCACCATAGGTTTTTGGCACTTACATAACCTCMAAAATATTTTTACATGATATTTGAAATTTTATGGTTTGGATCCAATCTCAAAGACAAAGAAGAGGTATATGCCTGACTGCTTTCTAACTTAATCTTGGCTCCATTAATTCATTTTGCATGCCTGTCTATTCTGAGAAGTCCCAGGTTGCTCCCCATTTGTTACCTTTACACATTTCTTTCTGTGTTATTGCTTCCTAGGTTTCTCTTCTGTGGCTGAATTTCTTGGCATTTTCTTTCACCCCTGCAGTGTCCAAGTTTTATTTCCTATGCCTGCACTGCCCTCAGAATATGTCTATATACTTATTTCTTTCATCTGTGTACTTTTCACATCACTGCCCATTTCAATATCATCTGCAACTTTGTTCCACATCTCAACACTCCCTTGCGATCGTCAGTATGAATGTCATGAATATCATTATTTGACAGCCTGTAGGGGGAAGAATTTCCATACAACACACTTCAATATTTGTCTCTGCTAACAGTCCTTAGGTTAATTTTCAGTCAATGCACAATTATTGCATATAAACAGCACAGACTGTCTTATACGTGACCACSTAAGGAGCTCTTGATAAAGAGGATGAGATAGTTATGGTCCCAGCCCAATACATATTCTGGACAGAATTAATCTCACGGAGATGTTCATGCCCATCTCTGACCTTGCTGGTCTAAAGTTTTCTTTACAGACAATGCAGAAGACAGGTATTTCGAGGGCAGAACTCATCTGACTTATTTTMGATGTCTCCTTTAGGATGTGTTGAATTGTTCACTTACAGAGGAGTTACCTTTTGTTCCTCTCCACTGACTAGACAGAAATTGAATGTAAGAGTCTGGCACTTGGCTATCAAGAACCTTTCCTCCACTCACCTATCTAAGTAGCTTTTGGAGCTTCATGAAAAATAATATCATTGGCTTTTCCAGGAGCATTTTGAGGAGAAATGAAAACAAGGCGTGACCAGATGTGCTCAGTGCAGTTACCCACACCTGAGATTGCTTTCACAGGCTCCTTTGCTGTCGGCAGAAGAAAGTGGGCACTTGTAGGAAGCAGTACTAATAGATCATACAAACCATTCCTCAGAAGTTCCTGGTTATTTTTGGGTTTTTTGGTGGCTGTAGTTGAAGCCTGAGTGGCAGCATGGATACCCTGCACTCCCATTAYGGATGAAAATTTCACATGTTATGGGGAACATGGGGCTCACAGTAATATTTAAGAGGCACCTATTTTTTGCTCTAATAAGTCTGAGGGTGACTAATACAAATGCAGAGCTGCACTAGAAACAGCTAAAGCTAGGAGGCACAAGTCCTGCTCTCTCTGACTGACCCAACCATGGGCCATAAAYATGGGGAAAATTTATGTGCAAAGATTAAGGTGAAGAGAGATTGCTTTTTTCAGTATTCATAAGTATTAAGTTAGGGGAATGGGAGTAAAAGCAGAGGATTACAAAGTATTTAGGGAAGGCTAGTAGACATGCACAACCTAAGAAAATGTAAAATCTGAAAGGGAAAGCCTATAGGCTATCTGTAGCATTCGAACAGCAAAAGACCTTTTAGAACTTACATATCCAATCCACATTTCACATTAAGGAAAAGGTCAGGGTACTTTAGCTTTGACAAACATGACTGGAGCTACCATATATTCAAAATCATAACTGAAGATAATTCTGCATTGGCCACTCTAATTCTAATAGCCTTGCTGGATTTCCAAAAGTCCCATTTGGATTTCAACTGTAGAAATGGAAAAACGCAAAATAATTCTGCTGGTATTATAGGAGATCATTCAAAGGTGTATTTTTTGAATGTTTTATAGTTAAATRATAATGTTCATAAACACCCAACTAGACATTTAAAAAAAATGTGAGCATGGAATACTCTTTAAAAAACACTATAAAATATATTATTCCAAAAAAATCAGGTGATTGTCAGTCCAATGTAACTTTGTTATAAAAGTAGAATAGTGCTGAAACACTATTATATATTTCAAAATATCATATATTAGTATTTCAAAATCCTTAGAAAAGTGTGTTATCTCTTCTCGGCCTTTTGGTTAAGATCAAGTGTAGTGTAGCACTTTTATTTTTTCCTRTTTGGCAGATATCTGTGTTGTTAGGAAATGTTGGGTATAGTTTATACCGARTCCAATTGGCACAAATAAACCTAGCTTTTACTATCTGCACTGAGAACATTTAAAACAGAATTATTTGAAAATTAAATTCTTTGCATGGATGGTTTTGACAAATGAACATGTACTATGGATTCTAATCAAAWGGAGAAAATGTTTTTTCAATTTGGTTTTGGCAATTTGAATAAACCAAAGGTTTTGATTTTTCAACATGAGTCTTGTATGGTGTGATTAAGCTTTGTGGTTAGCACCCTGATTTTAAAAAGAATGCTTTCTAGTTTACAAATAAATAAAACATAGTTCAATATACTTGAATCAACAGATGCTGTACAAAAGCATCTAGAATTGTAAGTGCAACTCAAACATTAATCAAGAACACAGCATCATTTTTACATAATGTAAGAGATGCTGAAAACATTTAAATACACATAAATTGATTATTACATTCATAATGTCTCATTTCACACACATCATAAATTCAGTTACACGAAATAATTTTGCTAGATACACCACTAACTTTGTGCTTGATAATCTGTGCACTTGAAAGCATTACAAATAAGCATAAAACATTTAGAATGTATAGTTTTCTATAGGATAGTCTACTACTATGGTCTCTCTTGACTGGATTGTAGGTGCCACAGGAATCTCTTTGAAACTGGGACAAATGTGCCTCAGTTGTTCTTTTTAGAACACGCAGTAAAAGTAGTTCTGGCTTCTTACAGCACTTTGTACAAAAATGTTCTTTTACCTCTGTTTTGTTTCATCAACTATGTGAAAAATACCAACCACAGAAAACTAAATTATTTATAAGAGAATTGTCACCAAATGGCCTTGTGCCTAAGCTTAATACTTTGTGCAATACTTGTCATCTTTGATGTATAGATAGTAGCATTACATAGTAGACCTAGAAAATTACATATTTATCACTTGGTGAATGCAAAAAGCTCTACATTAATCACAATATTCCATGAGCATAGACTGGAAAATACTGACCAGTAATATAATGTAATTTTAAATGTATTATTTAATTATGGGTAATACACTAGAATAGTAAAGATTTTTTATGTGATTTAAGAGGAGAGATTGCTCTTTTATTGTCTGCATTTCGGGAAGTCAGAGATACTCAAATTTCAGTGTGCTTTTTATTAGAGTAAGAATAATTTGAAGCTTATGTATTGGAGGTATTAATTTTATTTGTGTGCTAATACTTGAACAACACTGAGCTGGAAAGAGCGAGCACTATTCTGTTCCAACCACTGGCAAAACAGATGAATAACAGCAATAAAGGCAACTCCTAATGGATCTAATTGTTTTTTTCAATTCATCAAAGTGCATTTTTTTCTAAGCAGAGCTGGAGATCAGCTGCATACTTCTATGGAATATGCTCTCCAAAGCCACTTTAAATTTGAGCTCCTARTCATACAACAGCCTGCTAATGCTGCAGTGTAATGATAGCCTTGCTTGCACTATTGTCTTGATGCATGCAAATGGAGATTAAAATAATGTTATCAGCTATTAATGATGCATAACTGTTAAAACTGTAATGTCAGCTGTAAAACTCAAACAACATTTCCCTTCTCCCAACAATAAAGTAGTCTGGGCTTAGTTATTTTGTGTTCAATGGATTGTATGTTACGCTAAAACCTCCAGCACACAGCCAAGACTACCACTTGTACAGACAACCCAAAATGTAAGGATATGCACAGTTCATGTTTTGATTTGGGAGTTAAAAAAAGCCCAAAACAACCCAAAATGCTGCAGTCAAGCTTTCAGCTAGCTTTTAAAAAATAAAAGTCACTGCTGTATAAGAATATATAAATGTGAATTTCAATTGAAGTCACCTCTGAAGAGGTAAATTAACGAAGTGTACTGACGGACAATGGTAAGTAGGAATTTATAGAAAATCCACTAAGTAAATGGTGGACAGGAGCAAGATCTCCACAGAAAAGCCTTTCTATGATCTCAACATTATTAAAAAGCCCCCAAACATTCCGAATTCTAATGCACCATCCCATCCAATGAGCACAGAATGMTGCTCTTGAGAAACTCAGCAGTTTTACTCTTGGTCTTCCGATGACAAAAATTTAAGGTCAGAATGGGCTGCTTCCATTGGCTACCAACAAGGGTAAACAGTCTTTTCTTACAGCAGAATGGTAACAACAGAGACTACCAATTTATATACTATCAGACCAAATTAAAAATTGAACTTTGATATGTACAGAAAGAGGGGAGGAAAACTGAGTTCMTATTTCACAGTGCAAGATTTATTAACAGGAAGTGAGAGATAACTTACATCTGTAGCCAAAAGGTAGGGCAAACCCTCCCCTAGTAACAGTGCTAATTTAGGATTTGCCAGTGGAATCCAAATCTGAGGTTTGGTGGTTGGATGCTTATATCTCTTCTGAGAAAAATGGCATAGACCCAAGTCCAAGATGAAATGTAAACATATCAATTCTCATTTAGCAAACTTATTTTTCAGCCAAATTTGAACCAACAGTTTCTGACTGTGAAATGCCGGCGTGACAATTTCCTAACGCTAATGCAAGATGATGATAATACTGTGCAGTTTTGTTTAGAAGCATGAAGGCAGCAGCTGAAAAAATGATGCAAAAATGATGCAAACACATGCTGGAATGGCTTCTCAAAGCTCTTATAAGGATTGGACTAGGAAGACAAAGAGTAAATGATTTATAATGAGCAGGGAYATTAGCTAAGCTATGAGATGCCACATAAGGCAAATTTACAAGCCAGTGGAAGTCTACACTGGTGTCTCAGGGAAAAAAACAAACAGAAAAGACTCAGAGATTAAAATCAAAAGSTTGGTTTATCTGTTGATATAGGGTACCCCATACCCCAAAGGAAGTGCAAAACCCACTATTTCCCTAGCTGCCACGCTGTGAAAAAAAAATGGGAAAAGTTCCACTTCTCATCTTTCTCATTCATTCCTCTAAAACAAAAGCATGGCAGAGATTACCTCTTCCCCACTGGCCCCCTTTCTGAGAGATTTAATAATATTGTGACTTAAGTACTGTAATACAGTTCCTAACTCTATTAACTGATGTTAAAATGTTCCCCTGACATCAGTCACTGTGGAAGGGTGCTGACTCATTGCTGCAGAAGAACATCGAGAGGACACATTCCACCAACGTTCTCCCTTTGGGAAGATCCAGTTTCTTACAAATAGAGCTAAGAGGCAGAAATAGATACAATTGTCAGGTGAAAAATGTAATTCCTGAAAAAACAGTGTAAGACCATGCTAAAACATTCCTGACATTTGTGAAAGGAAACATTCTGAAGTTTCCATGTTTTAATTTATACATTTGTCTAATTTTGTAAAAGGGGCTTACTGGAAGCTAAAAAGACTGAAACAAAAGTGCCTCACTTGACTCAGAACCATTTTTGTAACCTTTTCCATACGATTAGAAACATTCTGGTCCATGCTAGAAATTGCTTAGATTCAGGAATATATTTATCTGAAAATTCATACCCTCTATTTAACAACAGCCTATTTTCCCTCATATAGCTGTTTTAAGTACAATGGTATTTAGTAATGCAGCCATTTAATAAATTATTTTCTCTTCTTAAAATTAAGACACTCATTTTAGGATTGCCATCACTTACTCAATATTTCTACTAATTCTATAGGAAATAATTTTATAGATTTTATAAGAACCAGGTAGAAGCTCAATATTCAGGATACCCCCTTCATACAGGTGCACTCAGTTGTATCTGCCAGCTTCAGTTCCAACAGGATTATTTGCTGCATGAGTGATTGAGAGATACCTGACCTGAAGACCAACATGACTTTTCAGATTTCTGCCAAGCTGCATTATATTTTTTATGCTTTACCTTGCCCTTTATGTCCCTGACAATATGCAGTTGCTTTTTCTGTGCTACCTCTGTATTTAGATTATGTTACATGTGCAATGCATAGACATTAATTCAATAAGGTTAGCAAAACAGGAAGACACTCCCTAAYAAAATATTTAAAATTCATCTATCAGAACAGCAGCTTGCTATGAGATGAAGTGGATATGGCATCCAATAAGCTGGTCTTACTGTCTTTTTTAAAGTTAGTAACAGCATACCAAAAAGCACTGATCCTTGGAAAAGAACAATATAAAAAATGCCACTAGAGAAGGCAGTAAATTTGCATTTGTACACCGAGTATATTTATCTGTACAGCTTTTGTTGTTAAAATTTTGCTTGTTTAATGGTTGATATTTTCAAAGGTTTCTCTACTTGAAGGATATTTTTTGTCACTAATATTTAGATTTGGAATTGAAGATTGCTGTTCTATTCTCATAGTGAAATTAATTCCATTTCTTCAAAGAAAGCTTTTGAAGTGTTTTTKATGTGTGGTGAAAGTACAGATTGACAGCACAATGATCCTCTTCACTATTCTTACRATCAGCAGCTGTTAACCTATTTTTATCAACAACTCAATTGCTACAAGAAACACTTTTGCAAAATGTGAATGCAGCTGGTGAGATCATTCTACATGAGCTGTTTTCTCTCTGTGAATTTTTACAAGCAGGCTCCAAAAAAAAAAAATCTCACTTAAAGAAGTAACCAACTGCCAAGACTCCCTCCTACAACACAAAGGCGTCCTTTACTTTCCACTCATGTTCCAGGTATGCACAACCCACCCAAGGCACAGAAAGGCATCTCCCAGACATCTTTATGTCATCCCTCTGGGAGCTTCTGCACCCTCTCAAAGGCCTTTGGTGTGCTCAGTATCCGTAGGATGCCACTACTGAATATAGTGCGCAAGATAAATGCTCATAACTGGGKTTTTTTTCATATCAAATGCAATCTCAGATGTCTTTACTTTCAGATTCAGATAAAAAGAAAAAAAAAATTCTGACTGCAGCAAATACCTAGACCAATATCACCATGTCAGTGAGGAAAGGATGGAGTTTCCAAAGTGGAAGATGGTATTTGAAGCTCTACTGCCCTCTGAGTTTAGAGGCAGAAGCGAGGATCACCCTGACTCAGCCTTGGCACTGACTACTCGCATCCTTTAGACATTCACAGTCAAGACCTGTTGTGCATCAGGCAAGTTATTCTGCTGTATGAATTGTGGGCACAGTGGCAAATTATCCCCCAAGAAATACTAAGGAAGGACTAAAAAAATACAGTGAAACACTACTCTTTCCAGTGAAGAAGAGAGATACTTAGACTGAGCACTGGAAGCCCTTGGATTGTGTAGGGAATACAGCTTKGTCTGCCACTGATTTCATCCTGCCTTCATGATCTGTCATCACTTGTTGAGATGCTTTCACTTGTTGTCTGAGCATTCTCTGCTCTCTGATCCCAGCGAAGAACTTTGGTAGTTGACCAGGTCCTCAACAGATAAAATAATATAAAATAATACAAATTTCTTACAGATACCTGTATGTTTTCTAGATATGGTATGCATACTATGGATGTGAGGGCAACAAAGCAGAACATCAAATTCACTCAACTATTTTCTAGTTCTCATACTGTGTATTTTTGATAGTCGTTGTTTCTGTATAGAGCACAAACAGTACACATGTATGGGCTCGATCCTCATGCAATGTATACATTTTAAWTTTTTTTTTAATCTAACATGTCTACTGGGACATCTTTGACACACCTACCAATAAATCCTGAAGAAGGAGGGTTGGGCTGTATCTTCTCTTTAGTGTTCTCCTGAATGATGTCCCAGAGCTGCCATATAAACTTTGGATGGAGGATGTAGAATGGCTGGGTTGGATTCTTCCTGCGATGCTGCACGTAGGGAGTGAACAGATTGTAGTCTGGCTTCTTATACCACTGGGAAGAAAAAAGTCAGATGTGTTTTAATAGTGTCACATGTGTTTTGAACACTACATGTACAATAAGATAAACTGGCTTCATTTGGGTTCTGCAGAACAGAAGCAAAGGTAGCAGAGCAACCTGCACTGGTGGATGCTTCTGCTGGAAAGGCATTCCTCACTCTGGGTTATTCTATTTGCTTTCTTCATACAGACACTCCCAGTACGTAACTGATTGCTGTGGGATGAGCCAAAACCATTTTCCCCCACAGATCCCCATCAGAGAAGAGGTTCAAGGAGTTTGACACAATATCTGGGCCTGGGGGTGAATCTTGCTCTGAAAKCATCCCTGTCCCCGACGGAGGCAGCAGCAGCACCTGACACAGGCTGATGGCAGCCTGCGTGGGAGGCAGGCAGCCTCTGGCATCTGTTGCTAAGGGAGTTCAGCAGATGAAGGCTCACTTTCTACTTTGCAGCCTGCTCAGCTCCCAGCTCCCTGTGCCAAAAGCCATCAGATCAACTTGTCTACTGGAGCTGCAGCAGCAGCCAAAGAAGAGACTCCCCCAGTGATAACCAGATGGGCATCTGCTGCCTCAGTGAGGGGGTGGACAGCAGGGCACAGATGGCCCTGGGACAGTGGACATAAAGGCAACACTGGTGGRGAGGAGGCCTGAGAAATGGAGAAGGCACCCAGACAGATTTTCACTAGCATGCTGCATTTTGTTTGGGGAAGGTAGGGAAAAATGATGCAATTTTTCACCTTTCCTGATAAAACCTCCTTCTGAAATTTAGCAATGTTCCCTCCTTGACACGCACACAGAAAACTCACTGTAACATGAAAATAGCAATGTTTTATCTAACAAACCCCATCATACATCTATCCTAGCTTCTAAGAACAGACCATTCCAGTATAATTGCTGACTACTAAAAGATTTTTGACCAATAAACCAATTTTGACCAATTTCTATAGAAATAGCATTCTCCACTCAGGTGAAGACAAACTGGGATTCATGGTGAAAAGGGAGAACCAGGAGACTAAAGCAGTAAATTAATTTTCTCCAGTATTTTCAACTAATTGGAAAGGAAGGACTAAGTGGAYATCTTACCACATTCAGATTTGCAGAGTAGGGAGCAGGATCCCAGGCTACTAAGATAACATCTTTATACAAGGAGCTGTCAACAAAGTGATGGTTTGGATTGGTGAGAATCTGCAAACACAGATGCAAAGAATTGCACAGCATTAAAAGCAAGTGGGATCCAGAAAAATGGCAAAACCCTTCTCTCAAATGAACAGTCCTACCCACGCTGCTGTTTGTTATGCTTAAGTTCTGGTTGATTTTAAGCATCTTGTTTTGTTAAAAAAAAATATACAAAAAAAGCTTAGCCATAAACAGCACTCATGACAGTTTGAGGAAGCAGTATCCTGAATTACTCTCCATCTGTGAGTGATGTGATGGGACCACTTGAGAAGCTGCATAATCGTGTATCAATATTACTGTGCATTCTGGAACTTGAAAACCAAAGTTATGGTGTTTCAGATCGTCTGTGGGATCCTCTTGGACGCAGAGCAGCTTTCTTTGAAGGGCTGCAGCCCCCAAGGGTAATGCCCTTCCCTGCTGCCCATCCCCAAACACCTTTTCTGTGGCAAGAAATTTTCAATCCAAAAATGCAAATCAGACCATGACTGTACAAGCTGGTATATCTACTAAAACAATTCCAACAACAGGCACAGAACAGGGCTGTTTTTGAAGTAACTCATTTTGCTCTAATCTACTGCTCTCATATAACTTCTTCCTACATCTCCCACTACTCTGCCTCATCCTGCCACCACACTGGGAGTTTACTCTACACTCCTGCTGGTTCACCCCTTCCAGGACCCCCCATGTCAAACCAGATCTCTTTGATTCCTGATGTATCCAATGTCAGGCAGATTCAGCACTGGTTGAAACAACATGAATTTTGTTCCAGCTGTTAAACTAATCAACATTCTAGACAAATAAATTCATATTAATTTTCATTTCCCTTTAGGATCCAATGAGCCATATTTGATTATGCATATTTTCTTCAGAAAAATACTATTGTTGCCATAGCAATATTCTTCCTACCATAAACTTTGATTTTAATGATTTCCATCAGCCTTCTACAGTAAGAACAGAATTAGTCATGCTGCTATCAGCATCCCCAACTCTATTTCTCAGAGCAGTTTTCACCTCAGAATATAAACCARCACCTCAGAGAGTAAACCAACCAAAAGGTCAAGATTTTAAAAGCTTGGTTCCACAGTTACCACACAAAAGAGCTCTTACTTGCCTTTTAGTAAGCAAGAGTCCTCTGGAGGTGTTGTCCACACAAATTTCACTCTCAGTGACTCTGCATTCATATGTATGAGTTTTTCCTGCAATAACAGTATCGCTGCACAGGCTTCCTTCACATCCTTTGGGCTTTCACAGAGGATAATATGAAGGAAGAAGGGGCCACAGCTGCCTTTTAATGAAGTAATTTCCAAGTGAGGARGGAAGGAGGGTCACTAAACCTGTTCAGGTTACCCAGCAACTTCCACCAAGTGGCCAGCGCAGATTTCACTCTTGGAGAGGGGCAGGGTTAATTTCTCAGCAGGTGACCAGATTATCATGGATGGATTCCGACCTCTTTGAAGGAGCACAAAGGTGCTGGGAATACAAACACTTGTGAGGAAGCCATGTGAGCTGGCTGAGCAGAACACCAGCCAGCCCTCCGTGTTCTTGAGAGGCCTCACACAGTGCAGAAGAGAAGACCATGGGACCCTCCACTACCATCCCAGTGGGAACATACTGCACCCCACTCTGCCCTGCATGGACAGCAGCTAATTTAGCCATTTAATCTCTCTGAATTTGCTGGGGAGTTAAAAAAGCTCAGATTACTCTCAGAGCATTTGTCTCTTCTACAGGGAGCTTTTTGAGTCTAGTAAACTCTAAAGAGTTTCTAAACCTTTCTCATTGCCCAGTACAGGAGTTCAGGCATGGTCAATGTCAGGACATTTTGGCTAACAGCAAAATAGAGAATCATCAAAGAACAGGGAAAAAATCCCATCAAACAAAAAAAAAGTAAAATAAAATACACGAAAATCCAAGTTCTCTGATACACTGATTTCAGGAYTAAAGCCAGAATAAGCTATTTCTGCTTTCTTCTCACAAACAAATGGAAGGGGGCATATTTAACCCAGATCATTTCAAAGATCTAGTCTGTTCTGCAGCCTCACAAAGACCTACAAAATGAGTGTTAATGGAATGACATGAACAGTTCTCTTTTTGAGGCAAAGAACATGAGCTTCTACACATAAAAACCACACCCACCAARACTGGACTTAGCATGGGCAGTCACTCAAAGCAGAAGAAAAAATGAACTCATAAAAATTAGAGCAACTGAAAATGTTGYTCTCCTTCAACAAGAACCAATATGTGCAGAGCATGCCACATGGCCAGCCATCATCCTGGTGTTGACTAAGTAAGCTCACCATTTCGATATGTCATAAAATTGCACAGTAATTCTGTTGCTGGTTTTTTGTCTGCATTTCATAAAGAGGAAAGAAGTTTGGTTTGCCCAAGACTGGAATTCAGGCAATAGCATTTTCAAAATTGAAAAACTAATCTCAACCATAAGGTGTCACTGCAGCTCAAGTCATAATTATTTATTKACACCCATATGCAGAAAATCCCATTTTCTCTTGTTTCCATTCAGATGAACAAACTCACCTGATGTGTAAWATCCAATGCACATTACAGTTTTTTATTAGTTCTTTCCAAATTTTTTAAGAATGAAGACTTGTCTAAAGTTAAAGAAGTAAGTTCCCATTTCATTTGCCTTCTAGCAAGGAAATAATTGGGGAACTGGAAAATATGAGAAAAGAGCTTTGGGATCACCACAGCCTGAAATTTGTGAAGATCCTGGAGGCAGTATGGTCAAGGTCTTCTGTACTGACAGCTCTGACATCCTGCAGATGGAGCCTTTACAGATGTAGGACACATGAGAACTTAACAAGCCATCTCTCTGAAACAAGGCTATCGAGCAACTACCCCAATCACCCCACACTGACAGCAGTGCAAACATCCCTGTGAGGGAAAACTTCCACCTCCTCTGTACCATGACTGCTGAATCATTATCTGCTTCCCAGATTGCCCAACAATTTTCCAGAGGTTATTAAATTATTGTCAAATTGTACAGAAGAGAAGTTGACTTGAACTCAGAAAGGGAAGATCTTACCTGAGAGTTAATGATCCGCATGGTTGTTTTATTTCCAACATCTTTTTCATAGCCACGTGTTGGAGCAGAATTAAATCGTAAAACAGCATCATGAGAATCTAGGAACATAAATGAGGGGTTAACTATTTTTTCTTGGCATACAGAACAGTAAAATAAAACCAGTTATCTAAACTAATACAAAACTCACACATTTCTCMTAATCTGGATATTCTAAGGATGATAAATGTTCTACTATGCACAAACAAAAATCCTCTTGCATCTGCCATATGTTATTAACACAAAAGCCCACTCGTTAAAATGTTCAAAATAATCTGTTAATTTAGCATGCAATACTTAAATACTTCTCTTAATTGGATAGACCCAGTGTGGGAAGATTATTAGTACATCCAGTAMACACAATTGCTTACTACTTCTATCACAAAATTCACAAAGAATTACTCCATGCAAAAGCATGTAAACTGCAGGGATATCTAATTGCACATTTGAATGAATAACAATGCTTAACTATAAGCTGGTGTTTCACACTCTTTTATAGTATCTGAAAATCTCAGACTACCCCAAATCTATTAATCATACTGTGTACTTATTCTCAAGCACAGTACAAGTTTTAAAGAGCCTCTGTGTGGAAGCCAGCCCACACATCTGCTCAYACAAAGAAACCTGAGGATCCCTTGGTAGCTAAGATCTAACAGAGCTGAACTATCTAAATTTCCCCATGAGTTGTTGACCTTGGAGTCTTGGAGAATAGAAAGCAACTCTAGGTCAAGTATGGGTCAAGGGTAGACACCATAAGCAAGCCTCAGTTGGATAAGAGAAAATCATCCTCCCTGTGCTTCTAAGGGGACCTCAAAGCCTAAAAGGTGAGAAGCAGAGCAAGACATTCAATCCACTGTCCGGAAACCCACAGCCCCTGTTGATAGTCTTCTATTTGGTCTATTTTTACCCCTTCTATCCATGGAAGCAGAGAATATGATTCAGGTAGTTTCTACAGCTGTTTACCTCTAGTCACTTAAAATGTGTTTTCTGTWGCTCAAAAACTGCAGGAGGCAAAATTCTCCAAAGATAACCAACAATGCCTCAATGGAGTCTTGGCCTGATCCTATCAAACTGGGATCTTTTATCTTTTCCCACCTTTACTGTGCAATTCTTGTCCTCCATACAAGGAAACAYGGTGGCATGCAGCCAGCAGTCTGATCTCAGCCACATCTTTGCACTAACACGTCGTGTCTGAAAACAGGGACTTTTGCCACAAGCTCACCAAGCCCAACTCCTCAGAACCCAAGCAGGAGTGAAGTTTTTTTTTTGTGTCCCCATGCAGGGGCAACCCTAGCCTTCACATCTAGATTTTATCTGCCTTAACACAAGCATCTTGATTGCAMAGGAGCTAGAGGGAATGAATAGAAGCTGCAGGTACTCCACATATGTGGAGAAGGAAAAGAAAAACAGAAGTTTCTTATAATGAATTTAAGAACATACATTTGGACCTGTGGTTGACAATTTTTAGACAATCTGTTGACTGAGAACTGGAAACTGGATTATGAAATGGGAATTGTACAGTTTACTACTTAATTGAGAGACAGTGTGATGCATTTCCAACATCACTCATGCTGGTTCTTCAGATGAAAAACTTCTCCTTTGCCAAAAAAGTATGACCAGGWCACAGCTTAAAACTGACAATAGCTGATTTTAGGTAAACTGATTTTAATATTAGTACATATTTATAGATAAGCATTTTAAAGATCTAAAAAGTTAGGGGCTTGATCACAGGTTCCTGTTACCTCATGTGATGCCAAAATAATTGGTTATTTCAATTAATAGCATGATCATGATGGGAGTGTTTTCTATACTTGTATACTATGTCCATGCCTATTTTCATTTTAAAACAGTCAGAGGAGTGGGGGAGAGGAGTGCAAAAGGCAGAGCACAAATTAACATCTGTGCTTGTGTTTCTAATAGAAACACAGAAGAGGGAGCTAAAGGCTTATGAAGGGAAAAGGTCCTTTGCTGCTTCTTTCATAGGCGTTTTCTTTTCTCTTGGGGGAATAAACCATAGAATTAYTGAATGGTTTGGGATGGGAGGCACCTTAAAGATCATCTAGTTCCAACCTTCCATTGGAGCAGGTTGCTCAGAGTCCCATCCTAGAACATATCCWGRGKTGGGGCATCCRCAATKTCTCTGGACAATCTGTTCCAGTGCCTCACCACCCTCACAGAAAAGAATTTYTTCCTAACATCTAAGTCTCCTCTATTTTAGCTTAAAATCACTCTCCCTTGTCTGCCACTGCTATAAGCAGCCACTTGGCCCCCCACAGTCTGGGCCAATTCCTCTCCTCCATCACAGSTATCTGCCCATGGCCTGAGAGACACTTAGAGAAAACCTTCTGTGATTCCTGGGGCTCCAACACTGCCCTGCACAACAGGTATGAGATCAGAAAGTTCTGATCAGGAAGTTGATGTAGGCCTTATCAAACCCTATCTTTGTCCCTTTAGGCGGCATCAGGTGACAATTTCCCATTTAAATCCAAAGCTCTTCAGCAGAAAACGGTGTAAGCTTCTGTGCCCAGAAGCTTCCTAAGAAAATGGGGACATACAGGAGGAAGCAGCCCCTGGGTACCATGTCAAGCACCCAAATCCATACCTGGGCTGCACCCGAGTGTGCAAACATGACTTGATGCGTGTTACCATACACAATTACATAAATATGTCACAATATGCTGTGGATTCTACGACAGCACTAATCCACACCGGTGTAAACTGAGTGTACTGGAGAACACTGACAGAAGATTCTGTTACAGTCACAGATGACACACTGGAGAGGAACTGCTATGCTTTTTTACCCCAAGGATTTCTGTATTCTTCCTGTGAAATTGGGGGTTACCCTGGTGTGATTTTTGGCTGCAGGCTGGCTGGGCACCTCTGCTGTGCTAGAAGCCTGTTACAGTAGTTTGATAACCCTAGCAGCTCCAGCATATCCCAGAGATTTAAAGGAAACCTATCCATGTCAAAAAGAGATGATACAGTCTGACGAAGCAAGTATTGGGATGTGAAGTCCTGGAAGATGGRGAGGATTAATGAATTAACATCAGGAGGTTTTTATAGAGAGGTGAAAGAGACAACTCTTCTTTTTCCAGACGTAAGTTTGAGACATACATTTCATCCTTCTTTCAACACTCTCAGCATACTGCACATGTACTACTAAAATGAAGAACTACTGAGACATTAACACAAGTAGTAGCACTCATCCTTGAAAAGACAAAATAAAACTGACCTGGATTAGTTTTATTGCCCCACCATCCTCTTTTGAACAGCTATCACAAAACTCTCACCTTCTGCTGGGGAGTTCTAAGTGACACTGACATCCCAGCACACCTGTAACCTCACTGACTCAGTGCAGCAATGGGAAAACAATGGGTGAAGATACTTGAACTCATTTAAATTCATCTCAGAAAAGAGGCCAGGGGACTTGATTTCAGTGCATGAAGTTACTCAAGGGTCTGAATTTTTTATGTCTGTGAACTCTAAATATGCAAGAGATTAAGAGGATACTCGGCTGCTTCTTGACATGGAGGCAAATGTCTGGGACAGCCATGCAATAGCATTTTCTCATGAGCCACTGCAAAAGAAAGACTAGTACAACACAACTTTGCAGAATAAAACCTGAACGTGGCTTTAATCTGCTGAAGAAATATGTTGAAGACAAATGGTGAATATGGCAGATCTGATGAGACCAGTGCCTCCCTCGTACTACAAGCTGTAATATGATAAGAAGGCATCATTTTTTTTTTTTTTTAAATTAGATTATGACTTCAGATCTGATTTTCCTTTCAGTTATATTGTTCTGAAAGGGAACAGCTTTACTGAAGTTCATTAGCTTCCATTCATGCAACTCTGTTGAGAAAGAACCACCGGACTTTACAGATGTGGGCTTGAGAAGGWTGAACCTTTTGAAAGACAGACATGAACACACACATATATATATTTATACACACATGAACAGATGCATTTCACCCACCGATTTCGTCCCCTAGAGAGGAGTTCAGTATTGCACCAGCAGACATAACTACAGCACAGCTCCCAAAGCCATGTGTATACAATTTGCCCAGTGGAATCTGGGGAACGTGCTTTTCCCATCCAAGAGTGGAGAAGGGAGCCTCCTTGCCATCTATTGTTTTCACATTCACTCTTTCTTTCAGCTCACAGAATAGCTGGTCTCCTGTCAACTTGGAGTTTCGCTTCCCCTTGAACCGCACCCCATGTTTATTGGTACTCAAATAATCTTTCATCGCCTTCTGCAGTCGAGGGTTTAGCATCTTGGAAGAAACATCCCCTTTCCAAAGCTTGTAAAGAAAGGATTTCGACATTGTGGAATACAGCCCATCCCAGTCATCAGATCCATCAAGCATCTGGCTTCTTCTATGCTTTGTGCTCCTTCTCCTCATTCTTCTATGATGGCTCCAGTTGTGCTGTAAAGTATTTACTTTTGGATTATTCACATCAGCTGAAATGAATTTTTCTATCTCTTGAAAGTGGTTGTGTGACTGAGGCTGACCAGCAGCAAATAAATAATCATCATTCACTTGGTAGAAAGCACTTTTTGATTTTCTTCTTGACTGGGATGTAAGAAACTCTTCTTCATTTCTAAAGGCATCTTCCAATACAGTCCATTTCTTAGAATTTCCAGTCCCCGATTTAAAAGTACCCAGGAGATCTTCGTTAAGAAGTACCTCATTCCCATCAATGGTTTCAGAGAATGATGGGTCATGAATGGCTCCCATGATTACTCTCTGCTTGCCCTGAAGCGGCAAAAGTCTCTTCGTTTCAATGTAAGAAAAGGAACTTGGAACTGGTTCAGCAGTGTTGCTATCTGTGAAATAGATGAATATCACCAGGAAAAGCAGACCCCATGCAAAGATACCAAAGAGCATGAGTTGTTTCCATTGYTTCAAGTTAGGTTTCATGGCAATGCCTTTACCAGCTCCTCTGCGCCTTGAAGTACTGGTGAACGAAAATGAAACCTGTAAACAAACATCAAATACTATTAAAAATTGTCCTAAAAATAGATGCAATTCAGAAGTATCTCAACACATATTGATAGACTGTGCAGAATTAATCTCCAAGCAGTAGCACAGGGAATTCAGTAGCAGAAACAGAACTCCAGAGCCTRCAGACACTGCAGGAGTGACACGCTTTTGCTGTAACCACACCGTGACAGCTGCGAGCTGCAAAAGAAGCTGGTGGCCAGTTTCTACAGTAACACTGGATGCTGCCTTCAGGGAGATCATGTGCCTGCCTGCTGCTGCTATACCGAGCATAGCATTAGGAGAGCAAAAGCAAAACCCATGTGCGGCTGCATGCTCAGTGGGAGCAATACTAGCTGTCTTCCCTTTACCACTGCAAATCCTTACACAGGGGAACTGTGAGCAAGCCTATCTCCAAAGGGACCAGGCAGGGAGCACAAACTCTAAACTGCAGCCCTCCTCTGCCCATGTGCACATCATCAGGGGATGCAGGGGAGAGCATCACACGAGTGGGTCAGAGAGGAACCTCTTTCTCAGCTGGTATCAACAGGCAYAGCACCAGCGGCTACATCATTTGTTGCCCAGTACCAGACCCAAGTGAGAATGACTTCTGTACCTCTGCTAGGGATGCTGCATGCACACTGAGGAGGCACAAAGGAGTTGTGAACGTCAAGGCGTCAGGGGTTTTGTATTTTCCAAAAAGGAGAATGGGTGGCACAACTATCTGAGCACATTCTTTTAGGGTAAGATAGAGATTTACATAAAGGGAGTGGGTAGAGAATGTGAGACCTAGACCTGGAAATATGTGCCCKACTAATACCTGGGGGTTTTGGACAGCTTGTGCATTAGTGGAGGGACGCGTGGTCCAAATGAAACAAAGTCTGACTGAGGGGGCTGTGTTCCAAGGAAAATACATAACACATTGCTAGACCATCGAGCACACTATGCCCTCACACGAACTCACTTGCTTAATCAAGTGGTGTGAATATCAGTTACAAGCTGAGTGCAGCAAATCCAGCCCTCCCCATCACAAGCCGTACCATTTACCTCCCCACACCACAGTCATCATCAGCCTCAGTTGATACACTGCAGTGTAACTCAGTGTACTAATTAGTGACAGATCACTTACCTGACCTGAATTAAAAATAAGCCAAGCCCCTTCTTCTGGACTTTTCTTTCTAAGCCACTTGTTTCAATGACCACTTAATGGCGGGACTTAAGAGCCACTTGTAGCAGGCAGCCCTGATCAGCAAAAAGGAATGGGAGCAGGGGCAGGCTGGGATTTTATTGCCAGTCTGTGCCTCAGGAGCCACCTCCTCACCACATCACATCACATCACATCACATCACATCACATCACATCCCATCACATCACATCCCATCACATCCCATCCGAGCAGCACACACAGCGTACGTGCCTATGATAACACACTGCCTGCTCACACTGGCCATCAGGAGGGACCCAAACCACAGTCCCACACACTATCACCTTTCTGCAAGCTGCTGAAGCACATCAAAGCTGAGTGCAAGGATTGAACCGAAGCTGTAACTAAGGCTGTGTTTTCACATCAAAAAGAACCCAGCAGTAACACCACTCTAAGATGTTCTCTGTCCCTCATTCCTGCACTGTGCCTCTGCTGCTGCCAACACCCCCGTGTATGGAACTCATACAGCAGCGGAAATACAGGTTAGACACTTTTTTTTAGTTTGGTTGGGGTTTTTTTAAACTGGGTCAGCCCCTTTATCTGCTTCAGTGCGGTCACACGTGCAGTTGTTTCAGCACAAATGGGGAAATCGCCAACCACAAGGCAGAGGCGAGAACAAACCGCAGGTGGTATTAGCAGAGATACTTCAGTCTGGCATTTCTGCTGACCTCCTGAGAATGTGAGACCGCACTATTACGTTTCCAAACACAGTCTATTTGAATGATCTAGAAGAAGCCTAGAACATCAGACAAAGACAGCTGACTTTGGGACTCAAGGCAGTATCCAAACAGAGAGAGGATTCATATAGTTACACTTGGCTGACCAAACTTCTAATACACTGAAAAAAAAAAACATGACTGTGATAACCCAGTGCTCCACATACATTTGGCTTGGCTCACACAAACCACATGGAAGAAAGCTATTACTCCAACTGACCCATTTCCTACCTGCACTCTGCTACTGCAAGATTGCTCTCTGCAGTACCTCGACACTCCCACTCCTTCCAATTTTAAATCACTGCAGGTGATGTCCTGTGGGAGTTGCCTTACAGTATATGGCTGTTGTGCAAGTTAGGTCTACCCTGAAGTTATTGCAACCTGCACACTCATCAGTGTTCAGATGGTTCACATTTTTAAATCAGCATTCTTCACCCATCTGAACTGCTTTCATCTCTTTTTATCATTTTCCCTGATGTGTTTCCCCAGCACTTTTCAACACGTGGCTGCCAAACCACTGTGTAAGTTAGTCTTTGCTCAGTCAGATGTTTCTCCTGCTGAATATACATTTCTTACAGGATCTGCAATGGAAGCAACTTGCATGATCTTTTTAACAGATAAGCTTGCAGGAAGTCAAAGTTATAAAGGAAGAGGTCACTAATATTTTCCACTGAGTCACGTAGCAAGTCCAGACACGATTTAAAGATAATCTGTAATAAAATCTTACCACATTCTCATTTCCCTCTCCTGCCCCAAGTTTTGTTGTATCTTAAAGYGAGAAGTTGGTAAGAAATAGAAAGGTTTAGCCTTAATTCAGATGTGAGACTACAAAAATTTCCAATTGTCTGTGACTGCGTGTGTTTGGCACAGCCTGACTGCCTCAGTATAAAAATTAGTCAAGACTCCTCAGTATTCAGGTTACAATMTGAAAAAGGACTGAGAATCATCATTAATTATTTTTTAATTGAAGCAAACTAATATCTGACACTCCCCCCAAGCCYCCCACAACACTTTATGTCATGAAAGCACACTCATCTTGCTCAGCATGCACACATAAGCATGCTTATGATTATCTCCTTTGTGCAGCAAAAAAACACCCACATAAAACAAAAAAACAGCACGCAACGGTATATTTGTCAACACTGCAAGCAAAAGGAGAGGCACCAGGGAGAATAAATCCAAAAACTTTACACATTAACTACTGCAGAAGCTTATCTGCAATTCCTCGTTTTGAGTGGGGCCTCAGAAAGGATACYCAAATCTCTTGAAGACTGGAGCTATGCAGGCAAATCTCTGCACTGCTTTAATGTTTTTTGCTCACAAGAAATGCCTTGTCCTCCAGCAGTACAGCTGAGCTGGAAGCAAATTCAAGGTCATTACTGTATTAGTTGCAAGAGAAGCTATACAACCTCACAGGATCTTGTGTGTGTAGAAAGCTGCACTAAGTTCAGAGAAATATCGGTTTATCTTATCTCCCTTTACACTAAACATCCAGTCCTCTCCCCCTCAGCCCTTGCAGTTCTTACATCTCRCAGTCCCTGGCTTTGAAAATGTTTGAGGAGAGGGCAGCCCTTTTGCATGCTCCCCACCACCCTCCTGCTGGCACCAGACCCCTCTGCTGCTCACGGGGGGATCTTCCTCAGCACCATCTGGGGGTGCACTTGGATTCGTGCCCTGGCCTGCCTTCAGCAGCACATCCCAATCACARAGAGAAAAACATTTGTGAAGGAAACCAGAAATGACAATTGCAATGAATTACACTGGCTAAATAAACAAAAACAGGTGGTTTCAAGGGTGTAATTAATTACTGAAGTCCACTGGATGCTTCAGGAATAAGCTTCCATCTCTTTTATCTATGCCCAACATACTTCTTTCAAACTGTTAAAGCAATTCTAAACAAGTTTTTGAATTATCATCAGGGTTTCTCATTGTCTCCAACTTCACCCCCCTGCCTTAATAATCCTCCCTACCCACAGACTGCAGGAGTCAAAGCTGCTGCTGAGGAGGATGAGGGGAATAAGTCTACCCCTGAGGAAAACACCCGAGACTTAACCCAACCCAGCTTCCTCTTCAGCAGAAGTGATAAGCCTGTTTGCCCCTGAGGCTGAAGACCTCATTTTCCTACATATCTCCTTTCTGATGGGCTCTTTCAATCATTAACTGATTTAAGTTCCAACTAACATATGGAGAACGGCTTTTTTTCCTTTCCCAGTCTGATCCTTCACACAAAAGCCCTGGAAAACATGAGGCAAGGCACAAACAAGTGAAGTGGGCAGAAAGGGAAGACTTACTTATTTGCTTAATAAAGGTATTAGCAGCAGCTATAAAAAAGAAAGGCAAACCCTAATGGTATCTTTGAGGCTTCCCTGAAAATAAAGGCAATTTCACAGTGGAAATTAAAGGCTGATTTTTCAGAGGTGGCACCCACTTGTGGGAAATTTCATTTTGCCACGTTAAGATGCAAGAAACCAGAGTTTTCCCTCTATAAAGCCCATTGTTTTGCAACAAGGAGCACTTTTCATTTTTCTAAAGTGGGCCTCCTGACTACTTCTTAAATGAGAAGAGATGGATAAGGGAGATTTTTTTAATTCCATTGAAGCATTCCTTCCTTTCAACACTGTCTATTGTTAAAATTAATTTGTACAGACCCTGGCAGCTCAGAGGTCAGGATGGTTCAAGTTGATGTGCTAAGATGTGCACTATTATGTTAAATAGGGTTTTTCTTGGCTGCAGCTTTGCAGGGAAGGTCACCACAGGGTTATTTGGGGTAGCAAACGTTAGCTGTGGGCAACCATTCCCAAAGGGCTGAGAATCACACCAAGGTTTATTTGATGCAAAGCTTAGGTGGYCTGAACAGATAGCAAATGCTCCATTCGTTTTCTTCATCTCTTAGTCAGCTAATTCCAGAGTATTAAGAAACCTCTGGCATAGGGCAGGACAGCTTGAGGCTGCATTTCCAGGGAGCGAATACACTCAGCCTCTCATGTGGGAAGTGCCAAATTGGTTTCAGTGTTATCACATCATTTCTGTGGTGGAAGCCATACAGTAAGCAGCAACAGACAGGCAAGCCCGTGGGG